GACCCCATATACCATGCGATTGGAGCACAGATACAACAGCCAACAAGTCCCAAGATGCCCAAGACCAAAATCAGAACGCCACGGTGCGGTTTCATGCCAGTGTTTCCTTACTAATTAAGTACGTCTGTTTGCCGTCGGAAGAGTATCGGAGTCAAGGCTGGATGCCCTCGGGGAAATATCATATCAGGTCCCCAAGCCAATTCCCAGCGACGAAATATCGATAGCCGCCTCGGCTGGTGATGGACTTAGCGGTTAATATAAAGATGTATTCTAGTGGGATAACCAGGAAGCTCTTCATGCCCGATCAAGCCACCTATGGAAACTGGAAAGAGGTCGTCGTCGATGGCCATACGTGCGAATTATTCGAGCCAAGCCAGCGGAACGAACATGGATATGTGGCAATCTATCTGCACGGAGTTCACCTAGGCAAACTGTGGAACAGCTCAGCATTCGTCGAGCAATTCGAACGATTGGGGCTGCCAGTGATCGCTCCGGTAACCGAGCGAAGCTGGTGGACCGATCGAATTTGTCCAGAGTTTGATCGCGAGCGATCCGCTCAGACTTATTTGCTAGAGAGTGTGCTTCCGTTTGTGGAAGCGGAATATGACGCGAAGACGCCAAAGATTGCTCTGTTTGGGACGAGCATGGGGGGGCAGGGATCGCTGAGGTTTGCGTATAAGTTTCCTGATGTCTTTCCGGTCGTAGCGGGGGTGAGTCCGGCGATTGATTATCAAAATCGGATGCGGGAAGACGACGAAGACAACCTCTGGCAAATGTATGACAACGCCGAACAGGCCCGGCAAGATACGACCACGCTTCATATTCACCCACTGAATTGGCCTCGGAATCAATTCTTTTGCTGCTGCCCCGAGGACACCTCTTGGTGGGAAAGCTCCGATCGATTACGAATGAAATTGGAATCGCTCGGGGTTCCACATTCGTGCGATCTGGAAACCAAGGGAGGGGGACATGGCTTCAATTACTACAGCTTGATGGCCCCGAAAGTGGTGCAGTTCCTGTGGGACTCGCTAGAAAAAGAACGCCGCCGAGTGGTTTAGGCTCCGTCGTTAAGAAAGCCGTAAGTCGAAACAATGCAGAAATTGATGCTCATCATCCCGACGCTCGACCGCTCGGGCGCCGAGAAACAGCTGACGCTTTTGGCGAAGGGATTGCCGCGCGATCAGTTTGATGTCTCAGTCTGTTGTTTGACGCGAGGAGGGCCGTATAGCGAAGAGCTGACATCGTCTGGAATTCCAGTCACCGTGATCGGCAAGAAGTTGAAGATCGATCCGGCCGCGTATTGGCGGCTCAAGAAGCATATCCAAGAGGTCCGACCTGACATCGTTCATACGTGGATCTTCGCGGCGAACAGCTACGGCCGAAAGGCAGCCCATGCCGCAGGGGTGAAGCACATCTTGTGTGGTGAACGGTGCGTTGATCCTTGGAAGATAACGCACGAACATTTGATCGATCGCTATCTCGATCGGGCGACCAAGAAGATTGTTGTCAACAGCTCCGGGATTGAAGACTTCTATGTAAAGAAGGGAC